ATATATATATATATATATATATATATATATATATATATATATTTTGTAACAAATATCAAGTCCTTCAAAGGCACTCTTTTGAGTATAAATTAACTCTAGGAGGCTTCTCTCACCCATGAGAATCGGGGAAAGTAAATCCCCCATTATTATGAAAATTTAACATATTTTGTCTTCTCCACCGGTCGTATTTCCGAGTCAACGGGATGGGTCGAGAAGAGGAGGTCCTGAGAAATATCTCTTGGGACCAGACAACATCCAGACCATCCCGTCTAGGACTATCAGAAGGAGGATCGGACGGTAGCGTCCCTCTACGAGGCACATGCATTTTAAATGAGAGCAGGTGTCCTCTGGGCAGGGATCCAACATCTCCAACTGCTAGCAGTCAGCAGTCCAGGGTACCCTGACGCGAGGAATGACCGGGAGAGAAATTCCAACGAACCGATGATCAGGACCTGCTGGAAGTCAACGAGGGATACTCGAGTAACAACATGACACCGAAGCGATAAAAACGACTAAAACAATTTTGAGAATTTCAAGAGAAATATTTTAGAATAGTGCAAATAATTATTTAGAATTTTCTGACGAGTAATATCTGTGAAATCTTATGATTTAGAATATTTTGGAATTGTAAAGTTTTAGATTGAGTTGAAGAAAATTTCGATATTCTAGCAAATGATTTGGTTCGAGTAGTTAGAGGGGGGGAACCCTCCTCAAAATCGGAAAAAAACAAGCATCTCAAGGAAGTCCATGCACGCTTGAAGAGAGTCGTCTCCTAGCTAGAGCAAGATGTAGTCGCCAAAGTAATACGGTCTGTCAGATTGGCATTTATTTTGTTTGTTTTGACTTGTTATTATTTTTCGTTATTGGGGCTGCAGTCCATCCTGGGAGGAAATAGTTCTCCTTACGTAGACAGGTGGGCAAAGCCAAATTTTCTTTAAATTTTAGTAAAATCCGAGAATCATAGCCCTTTGTTTCGACTTCTCGTGTGGACGAGTCTACTATGGCGTCTCCATCCAGCCTTTGTTTGCATTTTATTGAGTCGTGGGAGTTGTGGTCGGCTCTCACCGTTAATGTGTAAATTTTGATAATTAATTTTGAGTAATTTGAGTTTAAATACCGAAGTTAATCAGTTACGGTTTAATTTTGAGTTAAAATTTTGGATTATAATTTAACTTTATGAATATTTG